CAGACCAACCTTACAAGAGATGCTAAAGGGAGCCCTTTGGACAAAGAAGCAACAACAGCCAACAACAACTGACCATTAACTCACATGATGATATTATCCAGAAACCAACCCAACTGTGGAAGTATCCAAAGTATCCTACAAAATTGTAAACAGGGAACCAGAGACATAAATTGACAAATGAGGACAACTACAAACCAAAAAGAGGGAAAAAACTGTCATTACAGAACTTCTAGATGGTAGGGAAGTCAAGACATGGTAATTAAATTACAAAATAGAATGGACTGTTCGAAACTTGGGAAGAAAACTATAATCACAGGGTAACATCAAGGAAAAATGATAAACCTTCACATCAAAAAAGAGGATCAGCATAAATATTCAGCAAAAATGAAAACAGTGCTAATGAGGGAAGTGATAGCATGATTCATAAATAAAACAAGCTCAGCATAGAAAATTATATGGAACAAAGATATCAACACCACAAAACACATAACAAAAATGACAGCAACAAATTGATATTTGTCGATAGTTACGTATCTGACAAGGGACTTATCTCTAAAATTTATAGTAGAAGAATGGATGACTAAAATATGGTACATACACATAATGAATGCTATGCAGCACTAAAGAATAATGTAGAGTCGGCAAAACACTGCATAATGTGGATGAACTTGGAGGATATTATTCTGAGTGAAATGTCAGTCACAGAAGGACAAATATAGTATTAGTTATTGTGGAAGGTCAAGGAAAGGTTTATATATGGAGGGGAAACTCTTTGTTGGTTGCTGGGGGGGAGGGGAGGGAACACTGCAAAAAAAAATGCGTTGACCCATGTCACTTTAGTTTTGTGTATTTCGCTGTACATAAATTATATTTCAATAAAATGCATTTAAAAAAATAAAGTAAAAAATCTTATAGGGATAGGGTAAATCTTTGTTTTGCAGAACTGATACATGAAGATTATTCAGTATTAGTTGAGTCAAGTACTTGGAATATTTTTCAATTATTTTATTTTTTTTGCTCAGCAATTCCACCTTCAGGTATACAGGCAGTCCCTGGGTTACAAATGTACGGTTTAATTTAATTTAGAGTTTTACAATACAGTATCCAAAACCAGAAAGATGGTGGGTTGAAGCCCTGGAATAGGAGAGTTGGCAAGGGTGTAGTGAGGCCCTTCAGGAGTCTGATGCATGATTCTGAATTTTTTTTTTTTTTTTAATCAATGTGGTATAGTAAATTACATAATGTGGCTTTTCTAGCCATAGGTCTTTGTAAATTCCATAGTGGAATTTGCCATGAGCAACTGAGTAGCTACTGATTATTAAAGTTATCCACTTGGGGTATTTCTGTTGAGTAGCGGGAAGCAATCTTCTGGGAAGTTCTCTCTCTTTCTCTCTCAGGTATATAGAATTCTGATGTTGGGATTGGTTCCTTTGGCCACTCTGCCAGGCTTAAAAGGAGCCCTCCTAGAGGCAGAAGGAGTCTCTGACTACTGGCTGAGAAAGACGTGCTGCTGAGAAAAACACACTCCTGAGAGACACACAGTTGCTGAGAGAGAGACACTAGAGACACGTGCTGCTGAGAGACACGAGAGACACACATTGCTGAGAGAGAGATGAGAGACGTGCTGCTGAGAGAGAGACTGCTAAGTGAGACAGCCGGCTGCGAGAGACTGAGTGCATTTCTGAACTTGAATTGTAGCCTGTTGCTTCTTCCCTAATAAACCCCATAATCTGTGAGTTCTGTGTGGCCACTGCAGCAAATTATTAAATCCAGCAGAGAGGCGGTGGGTGCTTTGGGAGGAATGGTTGGTGAAACGGCTGGAGGGAGGCATCATGTCTGGCCTTTCAGGAACAGGCCTTGGGCTGCTAATGGTGATTCTGTCTTCCTCTTGTGAAGTTAGAGAAGGTCAAAAGATACAGCCTCCCTACCCCTTTTATAAAGATATAACCTTAAACTTCAGTAAACTATTATTAACCTCAAATATTAACCATCTAAAAAGAAGTGTAAATGTAAAATGAATGTAAGCAAATACTGTAACCAAGAAAACTAAGAATCAGAATTAAATTTAGACATAGAATGTATACTTAGAAAGTATACATTATATTAATCTGTATTCAGTGACAGGTGAAACAACTCATGCACATCATCTACATGTAAATTCTTAAGGTATCTCATGAGTTTGAGATCCTGTTCTAGACAGCAGCTGCCACCTCTGCTGTCAGTGAATCCAAAGTGGTTGATACTGCTATTTTGGCATCTTCGCCCAGACTGCTGGGCACATAGGTAAAAGAAACTATAGGCCATATGGGAACCATGGGCTTGGGTTGCTGCTGCTAAACTCTGACCTCTCACCTGCTACTTCCTTCCTCTTGTGATATTGGATTATTGGCAAGACTGTAGGAGAGCCACATGGCAGAGTCAGCCACCATCTCTAAGCTGGGTAACACTGCTTCAGACTGCTCAAAATTCAACAGCAGGAGATTTGATACCTGCACAGTGTGTACACTGCCTTTCTGTAAGAGGGAGATTAAGTTTCTAGCAAGGTTTTGACCTGTGGTTTTTCCCATTTCAGCTGTCTTGTTCACCATATCTTTAAAAATTCAAGTCTGTTCAGGTGGTGTTTCTTCACCCATGACAACTGGTTTGAAGCTCTAACACATCCTTAAAGACTCAGATAGGATTGGATCTGGTTCATAACCTGCGGACTGCCTGTATACTTAAAATAATTGAATTGAAAACAGGGATTCATATAGTTGTATGCCAGTATTTATTGCCACATTACTCATGATAGCCAAAAGATGAAAACAACCCAAATATCCATTAACAGGTGACTGTATTATCAAAATCTGGTATATACATATACTAGGATATTATTCTGCTATAAAAAAGAATGAAGTTCTGATTCATGCAATAACATGGATGAACCTTGAAACTAAGTGAAATAAACAAGAGAATAAATACTAGATGACTCCACTTATGTGAAATATGTAGAATAAGTTATAGAGACAGAAGGTAGTTCAGAGGTTATTGGGCTGAGGGAGGAAATGGGAGTGTTACTGCTTAATGAGTACAGCGTTTCTGTTTGGACTGATGAAAAGATTTTGGCAATAGATGGTGATGATTGTACAACATTGTGAATGTAATTATTGCTACTGAATTTTACACTTAAAATTGTTTAAATGGTAAATGTTTTGTTACATGTATTTTACTGCAATAAAACATGATTTTAAAACTTTTTACTTTTTTTTTTATATATAGATTGGAAACCTCCACCTGCACAAACTGGATGAACTTGACTGCCTTGTAAAAGGCTTGCTGTATATAGATTCTGTCAGTTTCAATGGACAGGCAGAGTGCTATTATTTTGCTAATGCCTCAGAACCTGAGCGATGCCAAAAGATGCCTTTTAACTTGGATGATCCCTATCCACTACTGGTAGTGAACATTGGTTCGGGAGTCAGTATTTTAGCAGTCCATTCCAAAGACAACTATAAACGAGTGACTGGAACAAG